CATACAATCTCATTTGCTTGAGAAATTGTTTGGTTGATGTTCATGTTTTTGATGAATAGTACGGGATCTTCAAGTAAGCTGTTGATGTCATCCACCAAGAAGACGATTTGGTCCGGCTCCATTGCAGAAGGAGGCATTTGAGGAATGTCCTCTTGAGGTTTGCCATAAAAAGTTGTGCTGCAGGCATACTGAAGAGGGTGTTAAATTATGAACAACTATGTACCTGCCCAGAATAGGCTCTTGATTTTGTCTTGGGCAAAATGATACTCAAATAAAAACAGAAAGGGGGAGGGAGGGACTGACAGTGAATAGAAACTTTTCCAGCAGATGGGAAAGATCAATCTCTTTCTTTTGGTCATCAACAAAGAAGTTAGGGTTGGAGCCATCCAAATATGGTCCTACTTGTGAGGCAAGGATACAGTCTGAGAAACGGCGGTTGACGCTATCACCAGTTGAGTTGAGGTTTTGGTGAGCTAGTGTGGTCGCAGCGGCGGCGCCGGTCTGGATCAGCAAGCCGTCAAACCGTTTACCGAGCCCGAAGTTACCTACGCGGTCATCAAGATTGCAGATGCAGGCGCCGCCTAAAGTGGCCAAGTAAAATAGATTCTCAATCGATAACTGTTGGGGACGGTTGCTGGCTTGATCGGGAGTGGCGGAGTCGGGGAAGCTGAGTACTTTGGCGGCCAAGGCCGCATCCCTGATCGTGCTCAGGATACCTACGCCGTATCCCCCAGAGACGTCGGTGCCAAGACTGAGCTTGTTGAACCCGGCCGCCTTGAGCTTCTGGATCTGGCAGATCCCTGATCGAAGGTTGAAGTTCGACGTAGGACAATGGACAAGCAACTTGATTGAATGCAATGCGCGAGAAGCTTGGTCAAGAGCCCAAACGCGTCGTACACTTTGCTATAAGTTGAGTAAGCCGGGAACAGCTTCTTGGTGTATTCAATCTCCAAAAGTGATTCACTTAGATGGGTTTGGAGACGAATTTGCTCATCCGTCTTCACGAGCTCCCCTAATCTACCCAGTAGCTCATCAGTGCAGGAAATTGCAAATCGCGGTGTAATGATAGGTTGGACCAGCAAAGAATTGGAGTCTTCATGTTGCTCTAATGCAACCCGAGGGCTTACATTGGATGATGATTCTGCTGTTGTACAGTGTGGTGATTTGCTCTCCATTTTTTGGTGGCAGGTTGACGAACACTCCTTGCGGACAAAATTGATGAACTGGATCGTATCTTCCACCGAGTGCTCGACCAAGATGTCCTTGTACTGATCAACCAAATCATTACGATCCATCTGTGACGAAGCCGATCGAAGAGAAGTCAGCAACTCGATCGATTGCCAAGCCTAATACCGACAGGAGCCAGAAAGCTCACGTTGCACTTCCCAACAAATTCTCGTTGGCCAGTCTGATGACAGACTTTAGCTAGGATCTTGGAAGCACCAAGGTGGATTGAGCTGTAGTAGCAGCTCGTCGTTGTCCCCACCTGGATCAAACAGCTGACGACTTTCTCGAACATCCGCCTGGCATAGAGCTCATCCGAGACGCATCTCCTCCGGAAATGTAATGTATTTGAACCAATCAAGCATTGATATTTTACCGGTGATTCGTTCGATCCACATTACGAGAGGTCGAAGGATGGATCACATTAGTCTTTCTATCCTTCCAAGAATCAGTGCAAAAAGAGAGTAATGACTGACGTGTATA